ATCAGTTCTATAGGATACAAAATCTTTAATGGACCTTACTGTTGGTAGAACTTGACTTGTATTTTGTGCAAGGTCTGGATTTGGCTATACAGTATCTGGCTTTCCTATCTTGGCGGAGAAGGAACAAGGATTGTTTGAATCCATAAATATACTTTTAATTAATTTGCATTTGACAAAATGTTCATGTTTGGTCTTGTTCTCATAAAATATAGAGTTTTGCAGTAAAAGAAACAGGCCATTTGGCCCATCAAGCCTGTATGATTTTCTATACATGAGGGATCTAATCTAATCATTCTCTCCTACTCACAAAACAAACTGTTAAATATTTATCTTGTTTTAAGCATCTATTACCCTTTTAGAAGAATTTATAGTTTCTGCCTCAACAACAGCATGGCAAATGTGTTATACGTTACTTATAGAATAATCGGGCCACATGGCCTATTTAAGTGCTGTATCATACTATGTACCTGTAATTCTATGCATACATTGAGAAGCTTGCAGAATGCCTCAATGAGATAGGATGGCTCCAGCAGAGAGCTGGTACCAGCACAGGTAGAATGGAATGAATGGCTTCCGACATGCTGTAAACATTCTATGATTTTATTTTTCTAGAAGTTCCCAAATCTGTTTGCAAATGAAATTAGTGCTTTGGAACAGGGAGGAGGAATACGCATATAACTGCATTTTCTTGCACCTTTGGGATAGTTTCAAATCACATGGCCTTCATTTTGCATTACAATTTTTTTATCATATATGTTTGAGCACCTTGCTGCTTTGGTTATTCTGAACATTGTAAACTTTCTACACTCTAAAGAAGAACATTCTACGCCTTGTAATAGTATATGAAACCCAGTTCTTATAGCTCATTCGCATTTATTTTGCTTTTATATATTTTAATGTTAAATAATTGGTAGTAATGTCCACTAAATGAAACTTTATTACCATATTAGCAATCGGCGTGAATGAACTTACTTGAATTTGTCTTGTTTTGTGGTGACTCCGGGTCGTTTGCGCCAGCAGGGGAGAGGAAGAATAACAGAAAACCACTTAAGATGATTTTATAATTCAGTGACATTGCCCGCAAGGACAAACCATGAACGTGCTGGAAGTTCGTCAATGAGGAAGCCAGACACCATAAATTGCCATTTCTTTAGTATGCGGTGAGAGTTTGGCACCATGTGAAATGGGGAGTGGGGGGAGGGAGAAGAAATAGATTGCTAAGTTACTATGGAGACCATCACACATCATAATATAACCTGATGTCATGATGTGGGTTACCATGGAGACCGTGTTCATAGTGAGCGATCCAATAGGTTTATGCTGAAATAAGGGACAAAGAACTACTTAAAACATGGGGTTACTGCTCTCAATAGCTCAGTCCCCAGTTCCCCCAATAAAGACCATCAGTTGGAAAACTCATTCTCCAGAGTTCTTGAAAAACGTACGGAAAAATTGCTTCTAAATTAGGACTACATTTTTGAATTTTCTAAAATTCTGCACGGTCTTAAAGGCAATGCGATATGCTGGACCTGACTGCTTGTTTCACATTTTAATTTGCTGCCATGACCATCTACTAGCCAAATGACCCTTAAGAATGGGTGCAATTTTCCATTTCAATCTAAAGGTTAGATCAGCCAAGTGGGAAGTCCATTGAGATATGATCTTACATTAAAAAATTGGGCCTTTCATTATTCAGTTGGCAAATGCACCATGTGGTGTCCCAGTGAGCCATGGAGACTGGAGACCCCAGATTTAATCCTTAGCCTGTGCTGAGTTAATTGATCTCAGGGCAATGTTGGGAGTAGCTGTAATTGGCCCCAGTGCCTTAAGGGAAGTGAGAAGTCATCCCACTTTTCACTGCCATTCAATAATAATCCTTGTATTTGATATAGCACCTTCTCATGTCTTCAAGATCCCTCAAAGCGCTTCACAGAATATACTGTAAAGCAAATTGACTGTATATTTTGACTGGAATTAGCCTCATTTGTGATGTTCCCAATCCCCTACTATTAGCCTGTTAACATACACTGTCTGCACTCACAAAGTGAAGAATGAAAACTTGGGCGCAAGGCACAGATGCTTTCTGGTCCCCGTGGAACAATATCCAAGCTTGAGTCAATGCCTTCGAGAGAGGAATGGAAAGAAAGGGGAGAAACACGGAGTGAAAAGCACATTTTATTTCAGCGTTGCTGTCAGAGCACAAGTGTACAGAGGTGTGATGTCATGGGGTGAGGAGGAGGATCATTCATTCACACTATTTGTAATTATAGTGTAACAGCATTTTTTCTTTGTGGTCCAACACTTGATCAATAAATGGGAAAATATTACAATAAACATCAAAATAGAAGATTGGTGTCTTTTTTCATTATATCATTATTCCTCACTTTGATGAAATCAAGATGTATTTCATTCTAGCTTATTCTTTCTCAAGGTCTGAAAATTGGAGGACAGCTAACCTGTCTCAGTCTGCCTGATCTGCAGTGGAGCTTTTTAAAAGTTCACACTTGGACATTCACCTGACCTCTGTTTCTTTAGTTGTTTCATCCTCTCCTTCTCTCACCTATCCCATTGAATTTTGGGAGTGTCAGCCCTTCACCTAGGTTTCGCAATAACATTTAGTAAGAAAATTCAAAGCACAGAATTTCAGACAACACTCTCTCACCCCTCTCACCTTCACCGTTACCATAATCATATCCTAATAAACCAGTGTTTAAGGTGAATAATATTAATGATAATCCTTGCATTTAATTGAAACATATACACTGAAGTAGTGCTTTAGAAAAGCAAAAAATAAAAAGTATCCATCCTAAGCAGTTGTGGTGTACTTTACATCAGGGTAAATTGTGATTCATTATACTTATACCAAACTCTTCGATGTTTATTCAAATTGAATTTGATTTAAAACAGTATGAGTAGTCTAATGTTGTCAGTCAAAATCTTTCACATTGAGCAGTATTAAAAATATAAGATGTCATTTGAACCTAAATACAGTAATAACCATCTTATATCAGAAAATGTACCTTGGCAATTTGTTCTCATAACAAAGCACAGGGAGATTTAATAGGTAGAGATGAACAATTTAGTTTGTCATCTAATGACCATGATTTACCTGACCTGTCCATAAGGGAAAGGTGTTCTATTTTGTGCACGAAATCCCTCATTTTGATGCAAACAAAATTCACCAAAAAATGTATATTCGTAAATAGCCATTAAATTTTCAATACTGCTCAATATGAAAGATTTTGACTGACAAGACTAGAAATGATGAAGCGACCCTATTCCATTGTCAATTTGACTAGATACATGTGATGGTCCAATTGATCACCATTCATTTTGCACATATGCAAACACATAGCCAAGAGTCAGGTATGATCTTTATTTTTAAATCAAGCCCTGATCAGGAAGTGGCCAAGAACGTTCTTAAATACAACACACTTTTTTTTATATATATCTACCCTGCTCAGTTGCTTTGTTGAAACTTTTTTGAAAAAAAAATAAGTTTCTGAAAGATAAGTCAAGGTTGGGGTGCAGCGGCATCGCAAAGGACAAATTCTGCGCTTTGAATTTTCTTACTAAATGTTATTGCGAATCCTAGGTGAAGGGCTGACACTACAATTAAACAGTGTATGACAATAAAGTGTCACGTTTTTAAGTCAATCTTTATATTCAAGAATTCTCCCTTTTGAATCAGCTCTTCAACTTTAGACTAATTTCCTAGTTCCATAATTCTTTGACCCGCTTCTGACTTTATTTATTTGATTGCTGGTCTAACTGGAATAAAGCTGTGTAAGCTAGTAATACTTCCGTTTTCCAAGAGATTGGGGTAAAGAAACCTTTTAAAAACAGTTGTCAGATCCTACAAGCAATGCTACTTTATAGTGGAATGCATTTTCAGATCATAGAAGACAAATTACTTTTTATTTGAAGCTCTCACAGCACAATAACAGTGGATATTCTGAAAGACCTTTTCTATTGTAACATAGATATAAAAAGCACTAGTATACAATGCAGTCCAAGGACATTCAACAACAAGTTGCACTTTGATTGCATCTTTCATGTAGGATAACGTCTCAAAGCACTTCATAGAGAAATGTCAGCGAGGTGGGAGATAGGGGGTGGGAGGGAGATGACCAAAGGCATCAAAGTGATGGGTTAATTAGAAGGGTCTTAGATAGGGACACAAAGCGGTCAAGGAGATACTGCGGAGGGCATGACACATGAAACCGTGGCGGTCAGTTAGGGTGCAGTGGCATCGCAGAGGACATTGCAAATGTAGGTGCGGTGGTCAGGCCTTCGATCCCTCTGCCTCCATCCTTTCACCCTCCTCATCGACCACACCTTGGCCACCCTCACGCTTCTACCCTCCTACCCTTTTTTTGCTGAAAAATGTCACGTACTGCATCTTTTTTATATATTTATATATTCATTACACTTAAATAAATAGGCTGGTAACCATTTCCCCTTTTGTACTCAGAAAATCTCACTCCCCCATCAGCCTGCAAACAAAGATGGCCAGTCAGCTGTTAAAAAACTCTCTGGTGCAAATGACATTTTTTTTCTGGAAGTTCTTGAAACTCTTAAGTTACAGAATCGCATTTTTTTTTCGAGAAACAAGAGTGGGTTTTTCACCAAGAAACCTCTTGTCATAACGCTGAGCTGCGGGGTGTGTGGGGTGGGGGTGGGGGGGGGGAATCGCAACCATTTCCTCATCTGTTTAAAGCCCCTTGGAGTGGATGATGTCTTTAAAGGGCTGCACCAGTGCCTGTTGGAGCTGCTCTCATTGATTCTCACCCATTGCTGGAGCCTTGTTAGTACTTGAATTCACCAATGAGTGGGGGCGAGTGGGAAGAGTTCAAATTCAGCAATCGGAAGTCGCCGCGGGGCGCCCTGGGAAGCGTAGTTTGCCCGCCCGCCGCCTCCCGCTGCTGAAGCGCACGAGGGAACTGCAGCCCCCAGAGTGCGCCGCGCGGGCCCGGCCGGTCCCGCGCATGCGCGGTGCGGGCGGAGGGGGCGTGTCGTGGGACGGGAGCGAGGCTGGCGTTGTTTATTGTGGCCGGGTCCGCCATAACGGTGCGAGGGTTCAGGCGGCGGAGGGGGAGAAGAGCAATCCGACTCCATCGGCTCGTTAATCGGGAGAGGACCGCTCCGAGCTCCGCGCAGGCACCACCGCGGCGAGTTAGGGCATCGACCGAGGGGGGTATTACAGGGACAGAGCGGTCCCAGCGGGAGAGAGAAGCCGAGAGACGCGGAGCCGGCGACTGAAACCCTACGGAGAGCCTCCCGTGTCGGAGCCGGCGACGCCTGTGTGAGACGAGCTCGACCCCGGGACTCGCTCCTTTCCTGACCGCACCAGAGCCCCTCGACCCGCACTCACCCGCCCACCGTCGCCATGGCCTGTGGAGCCACCCTGAAAAGGACTATCGATTTCGACCCTCTGATGAGCCCGTCCTCCCAGTCCCCCAAGAGGAGGCGGTGCACGCCCCTGAGCCAGGCCGCCGCCTCCCCGCAGAAATATCTCAAGATGGAGCCTTCACCCTTCGGGGAGGTGGGCCCGAGACTCACCACAGGTCAGTAAATGTCTTCACATATACCCCCGGGGGGGGGGGGGAGAGAAAGAGGGGTGAGGGGGGGGAGGGGCGTGGTTTTGGGTGGGGGAGAGGGAGCGGCAGAGAGGAGGTGAAGGAAGGGGGTGCAGAGACTGAGTGGCAGCTGTCTGGGTGTGAGGCGAACTGGTGCATGAAGCTCAAGTCATTTCTTGTGCATCGATAGGGCGTGAAGTCTGCAATTGCTGCATTATTTCTCTCTGTCTCTCCCCCTCCCCCCCCGCTCCCCACCCAGTGGGAGGCTCAGACTGTTCCCCGAGGGACCATCGCTTTATCCGCTTGGGTTTGGGGAAAATTGTCTTCTCATTACCTTTGTGTTTGAGGGAATGTGGCTGCTCTTGAGACTGGGCTGTAATGCTTTTCGGGTGGATAGTTTTTGGAGGGGGTGGGAAACATGGTCACTTCCGTTGGTGAAGGGCTTTCAAGTGATCTGGCGAGCGATTTAAAGCAGCCGTTCAAATTGTGTTATGAAATACGGACGGGAGCTGCGCCCTCTCGGAGCCGAGCTGAGCTGTTTTTAAAAATGAAACCGGCCGAATTGGATCATCTCGTCAACTGATCTGAAGGATACTGAGCGATGCACTCTGCAGCCCTTTCATCCGTTTTTTTTTAAAAGAATACAATGCCTCACTCAGCAAGAGGTGTAAACCGGGAACGGGTTAATGGTGCATCAAGTTGGTCATTTGTATAGTCCGAAGGCAATCGGGTTTGGATGTATTAATTCACGGTTCAGATCAGAATGTTTAGTGTTTGGGCCATATTCTCACAAACCTCTGTATAGTGTGTGGAAACTGAGTTGCGAGCTCTGTGCTTTTTCCATGTCAGTGGACTGGGTTTTCTCTGAATCCCGGGATGGATTTGCATGTTTCATTTCATTTGACATTCATTTTTGATTCGGTGCTCACGGTGTAAGTGTATGGTAATATATTTAAAGAACTGGCATAAATCTACATAATATGACCGTTGAGGGTTAATGTGAGCAGTTTATACCTTAGTTGGGGGAGTGGCTGTCGTGGGCGGCGGAGTTCACTGTGATTGGATGATTTTTACACACGCAACTGGCACCTGCACTTTCGCGTGTGCACAGTTGGGGGTTACCTGATAGTCTGATCTTGGACTTGCTGTCCTTAGGGAACACACTCGAGAGGTTTCCAGCTCAAGTATAACTGTATTACTGACTTTGATATCCCATAGGTGTTTGTCCAATCAAAGAGGCAGGCGAAACCTTGTTAACTTCAATCTCTGGCTGTTCCTTAAGGCTCCAGGGACTGGTTGCCTGGAACATGGCCACCCCACATTAACCCGTGGCTTAGCATGGAGGCAAGTGCTGGCTTGTCAGCTCATCTATCACACATTTTGAGCACAGACTAATGAAGGCTTGAATCTCAATAATCCTTGCAATTGATATAGTGCCTTATTATGTTGCCGATGTTTCAAAGAATATACTGTCAAGTGGATTAACTATATTTTGTGGGTGAAACTAATAAACTTCCTATTGTCACCAAAGCTGACCAGGCAGTCCATACTGTCATCCTGGTGTAGTGCAGCAAACCTCCCAGAGTTGCTTCAAGATGCTGTGTGAGAAAGAACAGAAATGGGCACAAGAGCTAGATCCTTTAGTGAGCTTGTTAAAATGTTTTTAAATAAATTCTACTGAAACCCTGTAAGAATTCAAATCCAGGACAAACTAGGCTTTGTTGCTTTGGTGCTGCACAACTCACTAATCTAACCCTCCACTCACCTTCTTCATTATTACAGAAATCGACTACCTCGTTTAAATAGCTCTTTTAAAGGCAAACTTGGATTGTCTTTTTTAAAGAGGGGGAATTGTATCTTTCAACCTCTGTTTACAGCGTAATGAATAGTAAATCTTGTAGGAGCTTACATTACCCCCATTAAACCCTGACCTGAAGAGATTGCTGTGGCTGCACACATTGTGGAAAGGTTACACATTGAGAAGATTTAGAACCAAGATGGGTCAGGGCAAAAGCTCCATAAAGACTCATTCAAGTCTAGCAGTGTACTCTCCCGTTTTCTGTCAAGGTATTTGCTAGCACTGCCACTTCACTGTGTTAAAGCTCTGAAATGGGTCATTTATTGGATGGATATGCCATTTTTGTTTCCATTCAGTATGACATTCGTGGATTTATTAACCATTACCTTAATTATAGAATTCTACTGCCAATTTAGCTAGCTCACATGTACTGTATTTTAAAAAAATTGCAGAGTTGTGAAGGATTACTAAATCAAATTCTGTCCAATTTTATCAATAAATTAATGAGATAAAAAGTGTCTTTTGAAAAGACTTTCTACAATATGACTTGTTCTAATACAGTATACTTCTGATATATCGTCACTTGAAGGGAAAAAGCTCAGTGACTATATGCGGTGGCTCCATAGACATGAGTCCTCCGGGGCCACTAGGAGGCGCTGTGGTCAAATGGACTTACACCAACGTGTATTGTGCCTGTGCAGAGTGAGTAGCAGTCAGTGTGACACAAAGTGGCTCTGGTCCACCGCAACTGTCAGTTTATTTGCTAAAACTTGTTTTAAGTTAATTACAGTAAGTTTATGTACAGTATAGGCATATGTATACAATAAAACTCATAAGTTGTATCAGTTGGGACCATAATCTTTGAATATGACTTGGTGAAATCAGAGTTGTATGCAAACTATACAAGTTCTATAAAATCCAAATTAATGAATATACATTGTGCTTGCGTAGTTCAATGCAGCTAGTAAGTGCATGCAGTGACGGATCAAAACTACATTTCCTGTGTTTTTATGCGTCTTGCCCTGTTGCCACATGCGCAGTTACTGGCAAGCATTGGAATTGAATTGCAGGAAATGAAGTTCTTTTGCGCATCCGTTAATTGATCAAGACTAAGTTTCCCCCGATTTGATGCAGCCAGTAAGTGCAGAGGTAATGGAGGGTAGTAGAGCTATGTTATAAATCAGGAGGTTCTTAATCTGGTTTTGATATGAAACTGAATGGGATTCAGGTGAATGTATTACTTAGGCAATTATATGATTTATGATGCATGTGAGTTTTGCTGTATTTTTAAAAAAAACATCTTGCTCATTTTACCACCTTGAATCAGACTTATCAGTCAGGTAGAACCTCACAGAAGGCAAGGTCTAAGATTTACACACACAGATCTTGCCACAACAGTCAAAACAGCCAACCACACGGCTGGTGAGGGCAAACTTTTCCCATGGGACCAGACCACTCATCGCAAAAGTATACTAAGTGTCTGGCAATGTTTTCCTGCACTTGGCCTCTCATCACTGGGCGGCCATGGTTCGCAGCTGGCTGAGTGGTGCAGGTAAGTTTGTTCCAATAACGTATTCAGTATTTTACCTATTCAGGTGTATAGAATGTGACTGTTCGGCAAATGATGGAACCATGGGTTGAGTTCAATGTTAGATTGTTTACGAAGGTTTCAAGAAACCTATTTGGAAGCATTGTCTTGACCATCGTCCTCTGTGTCTCGTGCTCTCTCTCTGTCTCCCCAAAACATTTTAATGTGCTGTGAAATCATTATTATAATAATTATTCTTTAGCAAACCAGTTTATCTATTGTCACTCATGTTAATGAATAGACACAATAGTACTCGATAACCAATCTGTTACATTTAATTGCAGTAACTACTATTTTTTTCTTGGATTATTTGTATTCTGTTTTGGTTTATTAGGAGCAATCTTATTCTTTGCAATAGGATTTAACTTCCATATAATGGATGGGAAACGTTTTGTCGATTACTTCTAATTATTTGCATGCTGGCATTGGTAAGCTTTACAAGATAAAATGATGGAATGAAGACAGCTGAACTTCATTGAGTTGGTTCTCGGAAGTGATTACTTCAGAATAGTCGGGGAATGGGAACAGAAGTCTGCTGCCTAGCAGCTGAATATTTCTTAATGATTGGTGAACAGCAGCATAGGTTTTGTGCTGTTTGGCCCCTGCATTATTTGTTTTAGAACTGTGCTACATCATTGTCTTCAGATCGCACCTGAAGACCTTCCTCTTTGACTGCTTATACTCTCTCCCCAGTCCAGCATCAAGCTCCACCACTGTTGAGCACTCGAGGCTGCTATATAAATGCAAATTCTGTTTTAAGTTATTTTTGATAGTGCTTACACTGTTGCTAAGTGCGACCGAGAACCCGTTTGTGGTATGGATAGACCAGGAGCATACTAGCAGAGAACAAAATGAAACTTGAGGCACTGAATAATACAGATGTTTGCAGATAATCCACAGTACTACTCAATGTTGTGCAGCTGGTTGCAAGCTTCAAATGGAGGCTTAGTGTGAAGTTGGGATCCAAATATCTCCTTTCAGAGCTAGTTTGCCACCATGCTAGCATATACGTTTGTGTGAACTAAAATGGCTACTCTGTCACTTGGGTGCTGTGGTTCTTGTTTTACAATCAAGTGTGTCTGATCCTCAAAAGTCATATTCCCTCAAAGCATTAGGCCAGTATTGCTCCTGCTACATTATGATATCCTATTTAGCAATAGAGGCTATGTGCTATGGTTTAATCCATGTATGTCTGATATTTGAGTATGCTATACAACAGCAAGGTATCCCATCTGCTGATCCTACTGAGGCTTTTGGGAGTGAAGAGAGGTCATTGGGCTGACATTTGTGACGGTTGAGCTGAATGTTAATGACTGAATGTATGAGCTGAACAATTCTGCTGTCCAGGCCAAGACTGTTATGTGCAGAGCATCAGAAAGGGGGAAGAGTATTAACTAAAACTTAGCCTGTGGTCATTGACTCAGTTTATTTTGTAAAACTGAACATGTTGCAGAAACTATTTAAAAGCTCAGAATAATTGCCTTGTTTATTAAATCTAAACAAGACCCAGAACTGTGGTTTTATTTTTCTTTAATGAATGTTATACTCATTGAGGTGAGGAATAATAGTGTTCTTTCAGTGTATCAGTCCTGATGTGCAATA